TAAGATTATTGGCCTTAAGGGACCGTTTCTCCACTACCAGGTCCATTGCAATTGAATGGTTTGCAGAACACAGACGACCTATTGGCATGCGAAGTGTTTACCGACGAATGAGAAGTTTTGGCTTGTTTTCATATAGGCCACACTGGGTCCTCCCTTTAACTCGAGAACACTGACGTAATCGCCTTGAGTGGTGCAAACAACGGTCACTCTGGGATCAGGAATGGAACAGTATTGTCTTTAGTGACGAGTCTCGATTTTGTTTAGGCATGCACGATGGTCGTGCCAGGGTTAGAAGGCGACGTGGTGAAATGAGGAATCCACAGTTTTTTGTTGAAAGACATGTTCATCACACTGTTGGAGTTATGGTTTGGGGTGCTATAGCTTATGGTTCCAGGTCACCTTTAATCTTCATCAGAGGTAACATGAACGCACAGCGTTATATCCACGAAGTTCTAGAACCCCATCTTTTACCCTATCTTGACACCCTGGCAGATCCAACTTTCCAGCAAGATAATGCCCGACCACATGTTGCAAGAGTCATAATAGACTTCTTTCAACATAATGATGTCACATTGTTACCAAGGCCACCAAGATCTCCCGACTTATCCCCAATTGAGCACGTGTGGGATATGATGGGTAGGAGATTGCTCAATTTGCAACGTCCTCCTCAGACTCTAGAAGCACTTCGAGAGGAGTTGGTGGTTGCCTGGAATGAGATACCACAGGAGGACATTGACCACCTGATCAGAAGCATGCCTAGGCGCGTTGGAGAATGCGCAGCACATCAGGGTGCATCCACACATTATTAAAGGTCAAAGGGCTTTAAAGCAGTGCAATCATTTTGAAATTTTTATCATTTACTTATTATGCTTCATTAAGTACTTATACAAAATTTTATTAAAGTAAAACCATTTAAACTGGGTGTTCGGATTTATATGTCACTTAGTATAGTTACTCACTTTCTTGTTATCGTGCCAGTCATATTATAACATTGACTGTATGCCGAATATTTGATTATCATAAATGAAAAACTAGTGCCCAGTGAATGGAAGTTATTGGAACTTGATTCCGAAGCAAAATATAGGCCGATTTGATAAAATGATTTTTCAAATGGTGTCTAAGACAAACGATAATGAGAAGCTTCAAAAATGTTAAAAACTACTAGAATGACCAGAATTGATGTTATTGAGCCTTTATGTTATGGTTTTCTTGGTTAATCCTTTAACCTGGCCACACAGAAATAAAAAAAGGTGTGACAAAAAGAAAGCATAGAAGAAGAACAAGAAAAAAATAAAAAAGAAATCATAAAAGGATACCCTAGTCTAGCGTCTTTTTCTGTTAATGTGCTTTGATAGCCGCATTTGACCACAAGTTCATTGAAGTATTAGGAATATATGAGATCTAAGGCCATCACTAAAAAAGAAAAATTAAGAAATACGCCTGAGATCGTTATTGGTGGTCATTCCAGCAGTGTCATTTCTACTTCAAGCTACTTGATTTCATTTTTTAGCAAAGGTGCTGGAGTCTTGAATATGGAGCAGATACGCCTGCACGAATAAACAGCCATCTAGGACGCATAATTAATTTTAAAGGAGAGATTGATTACCAAATCTATTTTCGTCGAAAATGTAAACTGAACAGTTGATCAAATCGGTTTACCCCACTGAAGTGTTGAATGTTTTAGTACAGTAAGTCGACTCAAAAGGATACATTGAAGCTTGGATCAAACATTTATAAATGCACAATGTATTTTATTGCTAGCAAATTTGTGTATGTATCTTGGGAGTAACGAGGCTCTACGTACCTTCCCTAAAGAGATACAAGCCTGTAAAGGGCGTCACTGGTAAATGTCTGGGTTTTTTTCGTCAATCATATGATACCTATCATTTTGAAAAAACCACCAATAACGGGAGGGATTGACAGGGTTGACGCATGCTAAGGAATTCATACCAAATTCCAACGAAAAAGGTAAAATATTCACTACTAAAGTTGAATACAAAAATTCTTAAATCTCTAGTAGACGTCGAATGTAGACTATACAGGACTGTAGTAGGATATCAGCTATTTGTAGGCGCAACGCTCCAAGAAGAAGGTCTGGAAGATACATTTTCTTCTTATTCGAAAAGAAATGTTTGTTCAGTAGGTCCGTGAAGTTACGGTTTTCCACCAAAAACTTCCGTTTTTCCACCATTAGATTTGCCAGATTATTTAAAACGATAAATACACATCGTTTCTCTATCGTTTTACTACGTTTTTTCACCAAAAATTTTCATTTTTCCACCTTTAGGTTACGAGAAAAACTTGAAGTTAGCCTAGAATTATGTTTTTTTGTTTTTCCACCTTTGACTAGCAAAAAAATGTGAAATGATTTTTCAGGGTCATTTGAGGTTAACCTAGAAATTTCTGTCGGGAATATCCAGGAATTCGTTTTTTTACAGCCTTTATTATCCTACTACCTATTCTTTTTGACCACAAAACAACTTTTTCCACCAGACTAGTATGGAAAATTGAAAACAAGATGTTAGGGTCACACGTAGATACTATGCAATTTCAAATACTTCGTTTACCCCTTCAGACTACGTGGAAATCATCACAAAACGTGCTTCCATCCTACCACTTTGATTTTCCAACAAAAAATTTTCGTTTTTCCACCTTTGGTTAATGAGATAAATTGTAAACAACAAACCAGGGTCACATGTAGATAGCCTTAATTAACTCAAACTTCTCGGAACATATCCAGGCTACGTGGAAATAATTTCGAACCGCTTCTCCACCAACAGATTCCGTTTTGACATCTTTAATTAATGGAAAAATACCTGAAATAACAAAAATGTCATACGTGAATAGCTCGAATTAACTGAAACCTCTCTAAACTTGTTCAAGCTGCGTGGAACTCAGTACGAATCGTTTTTCTATCTTATCATTTCAATTTTCCACAAGAAGTTTCTATTTTTCTACCTTAGCTCATACTTTCGTATACCTGTCCAGACTACGTGGAAATCGTCACAAATCATTTTTCTATCGTATCACTTCGATTTTCCACCAGAAATTATGCGCCACTGCTATTACGCGAAGTACAAAGGCGGAAACATGGAAGCTTCTGATAAAATTGAAGTGATAGGATGGAAAAATGATTCGTACTGAACTTTTTACTTGTAGTGTTTCGCAGGAACTACGATCAATGACAAAAGTTGGAATTATTCAGTTTTTGGAAAAAGAACCTACAAATGTTATACTACTTTTTAAACAGCATTGGATAGCTAGTTTTTAAGGTAATTCGCTGGTTCAGTCTGGTACATTTTTTTTCACAGTAATTAGTCAAACTTTAGTAAAGGTTTTCGTATTGAAACCAAATGAAAGAATTTAGTTTTTTCAGCATACCTTGCTAGTTTTCAATGTCTCAACCAACTATTAATTTTAGCCCAGGGAAAAAACCATAAGCTAGAAGTTCGTTATGGCCATAATAGGCAAAAAAGGAGCAAAAAGTGGTGATTTTTTTAAAAATCTTAAAAGTGGCAATATCTTGAAAACTAGAAAACTTTTACTTAGGGCATGTTGATTTTGTCCGATTGATCTAAAGCCAATATACCTCCCGTGTCACTCTGGCGTGTTATGTCTGGGATACCCTGTATAGCTGTGTATCATCAGATAGCAGCATCATTTTAGGCATGTGTCGAACTGTGAGGTGTATAAATATATGTTCATCCTATGTCCTGATGAGTAGGATTGGTACAAAGGCCGACTAGACGATATACAGTTGAATATCATTTTTCTATTACTGATTATTCCCCATTGGGCTATGTTTTAGGTTAAGGTAGCAATAAGCTTACGCCATAGTAGCAATAAGTTTGGCCATTTGTAACTGTATTTGTTACAGTAAAGTCAATTGAATTGAATTGAATTGAACTATTTTGTGTTCCAGGAATGTGCAATTTGAACTAACTGTGGACGTCATCCACCGTGCCGGTGACCCTTCGCCGAGCACCATGAGGAAGCACCATCACCGCTCGACCGGTCATTACCTCCTGGAGGACATCCGATGAACCCGCACCCCCCGTTTGCACCCCTTAGACATGTGTAGATTTTCGTACGAGAGATGCATTTGTTTTGTGTTCCTGGTGATCTTAGCCGTTTTGAGTTGTGCCGGCGTCCGCGTAGATGACCTGATGACCATGCCGCAAGTTGACATGCAACGGACGAGCCCCGCGGATGAGGTCATGGTGTCCCAGCACCGTCTCAGGCATCATAGGCACCCCCGTCGCGCCTTTGTGCCACAGCCGGCCCCTGCTCCTAGGTGGCTGCCCCTACAGGAGGACGACATCTCCGTGCGCGCGTACCGCTCCCAAGTCGTCCTCTTAGCCTATGCCGAAGGCAGCAGCCACTCGTGTCAGTTCGTGTTCCGAGTGCTGAAAGTTTACAAGAACGCCAAATCGTTCCCGATCGTGGATCGTATCATGGTGAGACTGGACTGTGAGGAAGCCGTCCGTGGATATAGGAAAAAGCTAGTCAGAAACAAAATTCATTTGAGGAGGAAGTATGTGCTGTTCTTGAACGCGAGCGGCAGCAGTAGTTTTCAACCGGCGGGAACGCCCAAGCTGGTCAGAGCCAACAAAGAGGCCAAGACGGATAGGATCATTAGGCATGCTTGTATGTCAAAACTGGGTAAGTTTATCCTTTATAATTTCCAGATAAGCAATACAGCTTTATCTCACAAGTTTTCAAATCGACCATTCGATGTCATCTGATGAAATGCTAAATATAGACTGTCAGTGATAAAACGAAAAGCGAAAAATGAAACAACGTGTATCCCGTCAAACTGCTTGACAGTACTCCAACTCAATCATTAATACAGGTATAATATCTAACTTCTACTACGTTCTACCAAATTAGAGATACAATATATAAAATCTTAAGGTATCGGATCAAGATGAGGTAGAAGTATGAAGAAGTTGTTCCAGACACATTCTTCGAAAGTAGTTTAATAATAATAAATGCCTTTATTAAAACACATACACATCAGTGAGGCGAAGTTTAGCCAAAGAGCTACTCTTACACTTAACCTCACTATGTGAGAAAAAAAACAAAGATTACATCGATACACAAAAGAAATAATAATAGGAAGAAAAAGAAAAGTAAGTAGACAAAATGGAAAGATTAGGCGTTTACAATACTCACATGTGACGGCACGAGCCAACAAAACAAATTAATATGGAACAGAGATTAACCCCGATAGCATTGAATATTTATTAAATATTTTTTAAAAATGTTTGTTAAATATTTGTATCGACAGATTTTTTAATATTTAATAAATATATTTCTTATATATTCACAAAATATTCATTATAGATATTTGTAGTATATATATTTCATATATTTTTACGATAGTTTTTCCAAATATTTAGAAAATATAATATGAGAAAAGATTTTTAAATATCAATTTTATATTTTGATGAAATATCTAATATTTTTCGTAAATATGTACGGATTCTCAAGCATTAATCTGATACATATTTTCAGTATATATAGAAAATTCTTCATTGGTTATTTTAGCAAAATCTGTAAGAATGCTTTAAAAAAATTTACTTTATAAAGAAAATTCATTCTAGATATAATGGCTTATTTGCTAGAAAAATATCATTCAAAAACATTCACAGCCTCTTCTGCATCTTGCAAATCCACTCATCTGAAAAAAAATTACTAATTATGAAGTATTATTGAATACATAAGCTGCTTTCCATTGATGAGAGAGATATTCTCCCAAACTACTCTAGAAAGTTTATTTACCTCTATAATGCACCTAAAAGTATCCCACATTTTCTTCCTATGAGAGTTCGAGATTTGGTTAATTTTTAAGAAAATTTGGTATATTATTTTAGATATCTTGATGAAAAATGTCCAATCCTTTGACTGATTTTCAAAACAAAGGTTTTTAAAAATAGACCACTTATTGATTTTGTTGAAATGTGACTTTCTTGCAGTAGTAAGCGGGCATTATAGCTGATTTGCCCCTACTATTTCAAAAATAATAATAATAATTGAGATATTTAAAAAAAGCATTTTTGATGTATCTCGATCAAGATGCGCTCATATGGAATGTTCCATCTACCAATCCCAAATAGCTGTTACACTTCAAGGCTAGTTATTTATGGCCTTGTCAATGTCTTTATACTCAACTGGCACAATAATGCTTACTAGTCAGATAAATTAAGCTATGTATTTATCGAAAAACTTACCCTTTGCCCTTTTCAACAAAAAAACACTCAAATAATGTACCACTTGGAGATACACAGAAAACACGCATAGTGAAACTCACAGGCAAGACGGATGCCGGCAAACGGGTCGGCTCAGGTCGGCTTGCCATTATGCCATTGGACGCTCGAAATCACACGCACATGCGCCGTAATATTATAATATATTTAATGAATATTTTCTAAGTAATAGAGTTCTAATATTTTTCAGTGATTGAAAAGTAAATATTTGATGAATATCATAAAAGAAATATTGTATTTGAAATATTTGAAAGATATTGAATAAATATTTAATAAAAATATTATAATATTTGAGTAAGATAAAAATATTTTTAAATATTGGATAAATATTTAATGAATGTTTCGTGCTATCGGGGAATGATTTAACAAATGCACAGTTGAAACAGTTCACGCTACAGTACCTTTCAACAATCCCATCAGCTGTTTCTTGAGTCTCCTGAAAGGTACTATAGTTATACTGCGATAAATTTTATCAGTATGACAGCATGAAATGTAAAGCCTTTTTGGAAAAGGGCCGAGCAGTGGACTGTCATCGCAAGACTTAGGATACGTCTGAGATTCCTACGATTAATGTTACCTCTTGGTAACGCTTTTCTAAAATATACGGTGGCTTCTTAGTGCGAACTACTTTATGGAAAAACACCTTCATAGCATAAACAAACTGCGATTCCATCTTCAACCAATTTAAATCTTCAATCTTCGAAGGGACATGACAATGTGTACCAAGTCCAAAGACCAACCTTCAGCTATTCGTTTAGTCTGACGTGTCCAAATAAGAACAATAAATTTAAAGAATACTGCAAAGATGAAGATGAATTTTTCACTAGTTTGAAAGTAAATAAATGTACCTTTGGAATATAAAAGTGTCAATTTGGCATTCGTTTTTCGAGACAGTTAACTAATGTCTCTATCAAACTTCAAGCTAGAGTCTAAGATAACACCCAGGTTTTTAGGATGTTTTACTAGAAAACTTCAAAAAAAAGCTTACTTGAACTCTTTTCAGGATTGATCTTGATATAGTGCCTTTTGCATTATAATCAGATCAGTAATTCTTTTAAATGAAATATTTATACAAATCAATAGTATAAATTAAATATAGCGCAAGCCATAAAACTGACCTATGCGGAACGCCAAGTTTAACTACAGAAGTAGAATAAACGCCCCTAACCGACGATGCGCCCATTTAGCCGTCTTCAAAAATGACCCTATTTTAGAAAAAGTGCAAAATTTTACAACGGGATTGCATTTTTAAGGTCAACTGAAAAGATCCTTTATCTGGACATGGTAAGAATTTTGATAGGTAACATTTTTTTTAATTTAAACGTCCATCTTGAAAAATCACTTCTTCAACTATGAAGTATGTATTACTATAAGCGACAAGAGTTGTAAGAAAGAGCTTCAGACTCAATTGGAATTTTTGCTGTTGAGCGTTTTTCAATAGTTTTTCATGCTAATCTCTTCAAAGGCCGCAAGTGTTGACTAATAATATAGATCTACTGTTACGCACTTTTTAAAAATGATTCCAGAAATGAGAGACTTTTGTGATAGCAGAATGACCGCAGCAGCAAATTAAAGATATGAGGTCTCACTTCTAATGCCGCTTTCCCTACTACAAGTCTTCTGTAAATATCCTAACTGTTGAATAACCCTAAGCAGTGATGTTTACTTCGACGCTTCATAAAAACACGATAAAAAGTGATCCAGTCAAGTTTTGGCGTCTCTAGGCATGCCCATCATTTTAATTTTCAACTAGTTGTATACACTATATTATTTGGAGATTTGTGCATATACTAACATAACATATGATACAGTGAAGAGCGAAACAGAAAAAAGATATTAAATATTAGGCAAAATGTTGGGCTCTCACAAAAAGAAATGACGCTTCATGGAAAGTTTGCCTTGAAGATGTTATAAACAAACACACGTATTTGCGTAGATCGTATTTTGGAGCATTATCCGGCTGCTCGTGATCTTATGGATTATTTATTTTATAAAAGTACGGCATAGGCATCAAGTATTGACATGTGTTTCCTATAAACCGAGAACTAAACACACTTCATAGATGACATTTTAAAGATGCGCTTCTAGGTTGAATACCGCAGCGTAGCTTTTGATGATCTCGTAGCCTCACACATATTACAGAGCCTTATCGTCAGTCTTTTCCGTTTAGCGTCAGCGCTTTCCTATTGTGAAGTTGTTTTCTTTTTGGATGGTAGGGAATTTCAGGCTGATAAAAGAGATGATATAAATCAAAAGCATGAACAATTTGATGCAAGTATATATTTGCGACATAACCTCAAAATAGAGCACCGTTACACGGGCCAGTAGAAAACACTGAAAATCAAGGAGGCCATAAAGGCTTCCTACAATTGTAGGAACGACTGACGATATGGCCCTAACTCTCCTTCTTTTGCTGGCCGCCCAATGAAACCACATATGTTGAAAAGACTGTTTTGACATTTCGGCTTGCTCGGTGTCCTTTTATTTCCCACTCCTAATGTCAAAAATTTTCAACAATTAGATATGTCATGATTTTCATTTTTCGGTTTTGATATATTAGTTCAATTATTTTTGGTTTTACAATGCAATGACATTTTGAATCTTAACAATAAAATCATGATGAATCTATGTATATCTTACGGAAAGAAGCAGTCACCGTTCTAATTATTATTTAGAAAGTCAATGCATGCTGCTCTTTAAACATGAAATGATATACACACTCTTTTGAACTCACACATCTTGCTAAGGAAACGAATGTCAAATGAATGGAAGATATAATTCCGCACCGGACCTTATCCATTTCGGTCAAATGCGGCTCTAAACACGTCTGCGCCATCAAGGGAACGCTGTCCATGTCAAATACGAGCCCCTTCCCACTTCAGTTGGCCCAACTATTGAAATCTTTGTTCTTTTCTTATCAAACACAAATAATAAAAATGTAGCAAGGTGTTATAGGTTTAAACTCAGAAATTACAACTTTGTTAGACTTATCGCTGTACAGTGTGAGAAATATTGTTAGAAGATATAACGTAACTGGCTCAGTTAATATTAAGCCACGATATGTGCAAAAAAATAATATCACAAATGCCGACCGAAGAGCATTAAGAAGAATAATCGTGAAAAACAGGCGTGCCAATTATTTACAATTAAGTGCTCTGTGGAGTGACGCTGTTGAAAGGAGAATGTCGAGGTCCACAACTCATAGAGAGGCCCACAAACTGAGATTTAGCACTTGCAAGGTAAGTTTTCTTATAAAAAAAGTGAAGTAAAAACTCTAAAGTTGCACAACTTGTTTATAGGCCAAAGAAAAGCCACTATTAACTCCACTGCAAAAGAAAAATCGGCTTAGATGGGCTAAAGAACATAGACAATGGACACCTCAACAATGGTGTG